AAGTGTACACATTGTGAGATGGCAGCTTATGATAAGTTGGTTCAAGAGGAATTCCTTGACTACATTCCCGTATTAGTCTTTTTAGGTTACACGTGTGTTTACTCAGGCTAGTGCTAATGATGTCTATCACAGTGATAATTTTTTTCTACACTACATTGTACTGTTTTTAGTTCAAAGTACCACATGCAGTTGCTTCATTGTAAAAATCTACTTTGCTCAAATTTGGACGATAGAATTCCTTATCCAATTTTTCTATACCACTCAGCTGATGCCAGATCATTGGTTCAACAAGCAAGGAATGAAGCAGCAGAGTTTCGATTCCGATATGGCTATGAGATGCCTGTGGATGTATTGGCTAAATGGTATTCTGATTATTTCTGTCTACAATATTTTCCTTGCCTTTTGAGTTATCAATTGCATAGGAAGTGCCGGTGATTTGTTTGTCTAAAGTTCTGTGGCAATATTTAACTATGTTACGGTATTTCTTTTGAGTTTAGACAAGGCTTTTAAGCACAGACACTTTTGTTGATGTTGCTTTCCAAGTTAGATACATGGACATCAATCATTGAGTTTTGGTATATCACAGCAGGCACTAGACTAATGATATTGGAATTAACTGTTTTGCAGGATTGCTGATAAATCACAAGTCTATACCCAGCATGCTTATATGAGACCACTTGGAGTTGGTTGGTTTCTGGTTTATTTCGTATTTTAGATCCACATAGTGCTTGCTTCAACCTATTATACTATTTGTCATTAGCTTTTGAACTTGTCATTATCCATCCTTTAAATTCTTTTTCTCTTCCTTCTGATTTTTCTTTAGTGGCAATGGTTTTGGGCATTGATGATGAGTTTGGACCTCGCCTCTATAAATGTGATCCTGCCGGTCATTTTTTTGGTCACAAGGTAAGTCACCTTCTAGAAGAAAAATTATTGGGACAGGAATTTAATGCCAATTTGCAGCATGTACCTATGTTCTAAATTTTATATTTTCCTTGAGGTAGATGCCACATTGGCAAAGATTTCCATTCAAATTCCTTTCCAGATGATGTTGCTAAAAAAAAAAAAAAAAAAAAAAAAAAAAAAAGAAAAGAACTCTTAGAATTAAAGCTTTATAGATTTAGCTCATATTTAAATACATACAATTTGATGGGTGTGATTTCTTAAGCTACCAGAGGGTGGGTTGTGGAATATAAGGAAACAACTAGTTATTATATTGTCTTGCTTGTAGTTTGAAATTGTATTTATTTATATAAAAGTAGTATGGATATGTATTTTTTTATAAAAAAATTATTTAAATTATAATAATTTGCTTTCAAATGTAAAATTTGTTGATCATCATCATTATAGTGATGCGTAGAGAGCCTTTGCTATGTAGAGTGCACTGCACTTGAGCTGCTACACAATCTACCCGATTCGATAGTGGATGAAGGCATGGGTTGACTTTTGAAAAATGACTAATTCTTTCTTAAGATCTGAACAAAGGATTGTTTTAATTTCTTATTTGCTTTTATATTACCAACTATACTTGTTTGTTATGTGCTCCCATGCTGTAGTTTCTTTTACCTTTTAAACTTGACATTAGTATTTGGTTAACCATGCGAGTAAGAATTCACAACTATGTGATTTAGGCCACTAGTGCTGGACTTAAGGAGCAGGAGGCTATTAATTTCTTGGAAAAGAAAATGAAGAATGATCCTGCTTTTACTTATGAGGAGACAGTGCAGGTAGATCTCATTTAATTTCAAATGTTTAGACCTTGTACCAGTCACATAGTTTTATCTTCTCTTTCTTGTTTTAATAGTTAGGAGGCATCAATATATCTATGCATACTTCCTGAAAGAAATTTTTACTCTTAATGTTTTAGTTATTCAGAATTGTTAGACGAACACGACTCTCCACAATGGTACGATATTGTCCACTTTGAGCATAAACTCTTATGGTTTTGCTTTGGGCTTCCCCAAAAGGCCTCGTACCAATGGAGAGAATATTCTTTGTTTACAAACCTATGACCATTCCCTAAATTAGCCGACGTGGGACTTTCATCATCCAATAAAAATAATCCATATTTTTCCTCAACTGTTTTGCTTAGAAAGAGAACTGGGGACTTAATTCGAAATATTCTCTGAAATTACTTTGGACCTAATATTCGTCGTTTTTTTCATTTCATGTTCCAAAGCGCGGTTTTGATACTGGTGGCAACATAGAAATGCAAATCTGATATGATTTTGACTATCTTTTTATGTGATAATCTTGTTTCTAGACTGCAATTTCTGCACTTCAATCAGTGCTGCAAGAAGATTTCAAGGCCAATGAGATTGAGGTACTTAAATTTCATCGTTTCTTCTCCAACAATTATGCTTGAGATTCTATCAAATAGAATGTTTAATCCAAATTCTGATTTGACGCGCTAGCTTCCACTGTGTTGTTGACCAGTAGTTATGTTATTGTCTGCAAAGGGTCACTGTATTCCACTGTATATATGTTACTTAGGTAAACTGCACCATAATTATGAAGATAACACGAATGTATTTACAACGTTTACAGGTGGGAGTGGTTCGGTCGGAGAATCCCATCTTCAGAGTATTAAGTACTGAAGAAGTCGATGAGCATTTGACTGCCATCAGCGAGCGAGATTGATTGACGCAAACCTCTCTGGACAAGCATATTGAGAACGTCTAACGACTTCGTTTCAGATGTCGGTTATCGCTGAGTTGCGTGCTTTATATATGCAAGTCCTTGAGGTAGTAGTAGTTGTACTTGCTTCTGAATTGCTGTAGACGGTGACATTCCCATTTTACTTAAAACACTACATCAAAAACAAGTCATCTTTAGAATTTGTATCTCAGAGAAACTCATCATGTTACATTATTTAACTCCCAATTCCCGTGTCTAATAACATGATGGTAAGTAGATTATGAACCCTCTTTCTCTATTTCTCATGATGCTAGAGATAAAAACTCGTAAAGCTTACGGTATTACGTGGTCGTTTGTATGATGTCCCACATTGACGGGTTTTAAAGCCTTGAGGGGAAGCTCAAAAGGAAAAGCCTAAAGAAGACAATATCTACTATCTCGATCGATGGATTGGATTGGTGTAGTTCTAGAATTTGTGGGGCTTTGACTAGATACTTTTAAGTTTATGTGGAGCATTCATTGATAAATTTAAATTATAGTCGTCGTTATCTGCATTGTATGGGGACAGGGGAAGCAATAATTTCAGCTCTTGTTATTGGGCAGTCCCCCTGCTCCACCAATTTATCTTATTATTATTATTATTCATTAAAAGATATTAGTGGACACAGAAACCAGGTGGAGGTGGCCGACTATGCTCATAAAATCGGATCTTTTTTTTATTCAGAATAATCGCCCAGGTATATGCTCTCCTCTTCTTTCTACAAATATAACCCTATTTTTTTTTATTATTCATTTCTTTGGCCATACTCGACCTAATTCTGTTTTTAAATATCATTTGTTAATTTATAATATTATTAATGAATATTTATGACATCATTATTCATACATTCCGTTGACTTCAGTTTTTGTTTACTTCAAAGAGAAAAAAAAAAAAATATTAATTGTTTTTTATGGCACGTATTTCGGTTTTGGTATTAGTTATAATAATAACTACCCGAGGGTCTTCTTCTTGTTATCTTTTAAATTGATTTGTTGCTCAATTAATGGATTCCAAATTGACACGTATTAAATATGTTTTTATTTTCTAATAATAAATGTTATTGTATATGAGTTTTATTTAATAAACCGTGATGTGGCGCACGTAATAAAGAAATTGAAGTTCTCTTAGTGAGGGCCTATTCATAGGTTGAATTGTGTTGTTTATCTAACCGGCCAAGTTCCCCGCTCTGTGAGTTTTTCATTTTTGGACATCTTCTCGAGATTTTAAAATGTATTTATTAGGAAAAGTTTCCGCTCTCTTACAAATAATGTTTTGTTTCTCTCTTTAATTGACGTGGGATCTCATAATTTATTTTAAAATGATCATTTTGATTCTTGTGTGTAAAGTTATAACACAAATTTTATGCACAATTGAAACCGTTTAATATGAACTTGTAACTATTAAACATTTTGAGGAGAGAGAAAAAATGAAAAATAAAAAATGAAGGGACTGAAAATGTATATGAACTCAAAATGAACAAAAATATTGAATGTAATTTAGCTTGCTATATATTGCCGTCAACCTCACGATTTTAAAACGCACATTAGGAAGAGGTTTTTATATCTTTAAAAGAAATATTTCGTTTCCCTCTCCAACCAACGTGAGATCTCACAATTCACTTATTTTGGGGGCTCAACATCCTCGTTGGCACAGCACTAGATGTCTGGCTTTGAATACCATTTATAACAGTCTGAGACCACGTTAATAGATTGATTCGCTTTAGCTCGTTATGTATCCCCGTCAGTTTCATGATTTTAAAACATGTATATTAGAGAGATATGTAATAGGCTAATGTGGATTTCCATGTTAGGGGCAAATTGAAATGAAATAATCATATATTAGTTGTAAAGAGTTTCGAATTTAAACATAAATCAATAAATAGAATATAATTTTTTTTATTATCGTTATTCTCCGTTAAACTACAAAAAATAATTAAATAACTAATTCTTTGTAAACAAATTACAATTGATTAAAAGACCTTTTATTTTATGTTATTTATAATTTGTGTGAATTAATATGTAATCGACCAAGACTTCAGATGATTATTGGAATGTAATTGGAGAAATTAGAATCAACAAATTACATGGAGAAAATTTTCACACGTAGCCGCACGGTACGTGTTTAGGAGTACACGTGGTCGAATAGCATTGGTTGGTTAATTATAGAAGAAAGCCTTTCCAAAACCAAAACAGCACATATTTGCTAACATTAGTCTGAACTGGAATAGCTGCTTAGCTGGCAGTCTAATATTCAACGGCTCAGAATTACCGACAGCGAATTTGGATGACGTGGCCGAACCTCATTAGATCCTTTATAAGCCTTCATCTTCAAGTCTCATCTTCATGTCCATCTCTTCTCCGTAACTCCAAACGCGCCCTTTCTCCTTCGTCTCTTTGCCTGCGATTATTTTCCCCGATTTTCAGTTCGACATCTGCCGGGAACATCGCGAAAAATCTGCCTCTCTTCGAAGATTCTGATCGTAATACAAGCGAGAGCGTTTGATTTTCTTGGCGAAGGATTCTGATCGGAACTGGTTGTCTTTGTATTGGTTGAATTTTGAATTTGAAATGGTTTTCATCTGTGAAATTTCGTCATCCGATGAAGATGAAGGAATCGGTGAGAAGGAGAGATAGCAATAAAAGAAGCCGCGAAATTAGGCGGAGGGAGAAGGAAATCTTTTAATATCTGTTTTATCTGCTTTCTTGGTAAGATTTCTTCTCGATTTTCTCTTTTCGTATTCGAATTAGGAATTTCGAAATTTCTAGGGTTCTTCGTTGTTTATAGACAATATTGCAATCGTTTCGTAATATGGAACTCTGTTTTGAACATATAGTTCCAGATTCTGTTTGCAGAGTCGTGATTTCTGCAATCCTTCTCATCGTTACCTAAAGCGAAATATCGAAATTTCTAGGGTTTTTTCGATGTTATAGATAAGTAATACGGTCGTTTGGTTTGTGGAACGCGGTTTTGATATCATAATTTCAGTTTCTGTCTGCAGAATCGCCATGTCTGCCACCGTTCTTAGCGATACAATCCTAGAACCTCAAGCAGCATCGACGAAGCTAATCGCTCATATGGAGGTGGAGTTCGTTAAATGCTATTGCTGCGGACTCATAGAGGAATGCACACCAGCGTACATACAACGTGTTCGTGAACGTTACAATGAACATTGGATCTGCGGCCTCTGTTCCGAGGCAATCAACTACGAAATCCTCCGTTCTCGAAGCCTAATCACGGCGGAGGAAGCCATGGAAATACACATGAACCTCTGCAAAAAATTCACAGCGTTGAAACCACCTCCAAATCCTGCGGTGCATTTGATATCAGCGATGCGACAGATTTTGAAGCGCAGTTTAGATTCTCCCTCAAGGGCCGTGAGGTCGATGCCAACAAGTCCGATGAAGAAAGCCTCTCGCCCGCCGCCACTCGCTCGCACGGGAAGCTGCCTATCTTCCCTCTCTGGGTCGTGAATCATCAAAGGTACAGGATTCCATGGACCAACAAAACTCAATCAAAACTGAACATATTGGGATCCAATAATACTTTATATTCCATAAACATAGACCTTATCATAGGCTGAATTATACAATACGCTTCGTGATGCCTGGTTTTTTTGTTTTTGTCATAATTGGCAAAATTCTAACCATTTTCCTTGTGTAATTTAGCTTGAATATTAATAAAAGTTGAATTTCTGTGCAGTAATCTACTTGTTTTTTTTCTTTTTCGTTACTCAATATCAAATGTTTTTTCTTTATATAAATATAACATTACTATTATTATTATTATTATTTGCTTAAATTATTGAATTGGTTGAATTTATTTTGAGAGCATATTGTTCAAGTACTTGAAGCTTGTAAAAATCTTTAAATCAATTACATTTTATGAATTTCAGTATCATTAAAATAGTAATAAAAATCAACCAATTTCTAAAATTCTTTTCGAGAGATACTCTAAATAAAAATTTAGTCACTGTTCTGTGATCTCATTTGGGGCTCTTCACTGGCACATTGGTGTTTGGCTCTAAGGGATCTCACAATCCCCCTCTTGAGGTTCAACGTCATTGCTAGCAAATCGCTCGGTGTCTAGCTCTAATACCATGTTAAGAATTAAAGACCTCTATAATGGTATGCTCGATGGGGATCTCACAATCCACTCATTGGGGCTCAACGTCCATATTAAGTATTAGAGACATTCACAATGGTGTGATATTGTCCGGTTCGGGCAAAACCATTTGGTTTTCCTAAAAGGTCGGATTACAATGTAGATATATTCCTTACCAATTATCAACTGATGTAGGATTCCTCTCCCAATCATTCTCAACAATCCTCTCATCGAATAAAGTACACCATCCCCCAAGGCCTATGGAACCAACCCTGAACAACCTCCCCTTAATTGAGACTCGACTTGTTCTCTAGAACCCTCGAATAAAGTATATCCTTTTTTCGACACTTGAATCACTTTTGACTACACTTTCGAGACTTACAATTTTGTTCGACATTTAAATTTTTTATTGATATGGCTAAGTTAAGAGCATGGTTTTAATACCATTTGTAACCGACCAAGCCCATCGCTAGCAAGTATTGTCCGCTTTGGCCCGTTACGTATTGCCATTAGCCTCACAGTTTTAAAACACATATTTTAGGGGGACAGGTTTCCATGCCCAAGAAATGGGGACGATGTGAGATCTCACAATCCATCACCTTTGAGAGCCCAGCATCCAGATCTCACTCGTACCACTCGGTGTATGACCCTAATACCATTTATAACAGCTTAAGCCCATATTGTCATCTTTAAGTTTTCCCTTCTAAAAAATGTTTTGTTCTCTTCTCAACTCTTCTAGAATCTCACGCTAAAAAAAATAAGCTTACAACAAAAAAAAAAACTTAACGAGAATTTTTCTCATATTTTGGTCAATTTCTTTTTTATTACTTCTAATAATTTATATAATTTATTCTAAGTTTAGAAGTGAAATAAAAGATTTAAAAATTTCAAGACTAAAAAGTCTAAAATAAAATTATAATAAAATCAATTGCCAAAGCATCTCAATCCATCCATCCATCAATTTTCACATCCTATTTCATACAATCTTCCAAATATTTCCAATAACATCATCCAACTACTCCTAAATTTGTCTTTACTAATCATTAATAAACGTTAATATTTATTTCTATCTAAAAAAACGTGTAATTTCCTTTTGTCTTCTTTCTTACCGTATTTAGAGGCATTTGTGGGTCCTAATGGATTACGTGTTCAACCATTTTGTAGACCAAACTCAATTATTCATATTATAAATTTATTTAACTCAAACTCTAAACTTTTTTAAATTGAGTTCGATAGTTTGTGTTGTTCATAAGAGTAAAATGTTAGTTTATAAAACGTTTATTTATTTACTTTCAAACATTTAATTAAAATTTACCATACAATTTCAATATATATTTTGGAAAATTAGTTTTAAATAGTTAAAAATTATTTTTGAGAATAAATAATAAAAAAAAAATAAATAAAATCAAAATAAATTAATGTATATATAATTATATTGTAAAAATTAAAATAAATTGGCTAATCTAATTTAAATTTATAAACCAATTCAATCTCTCAAAAAATTTTAAATTCAAATAAGTTTCTAATCAATACAAATCATAGAAATTGGATTAGATTGGGTTAATCGGTTTCTTTTAATTGGAGGACTCTTTTTTTTTTTTTTTTTTTTTGGAAAAAAGAAGATGCAATATGATAAATAATATATTAGTTTTATTTGATTTTGTCAAGTTTTAAAGTACCATTCCAAAGCATTAGTGGATGAATCATTGATACCTTTACTTTCTATTTTATTATCTTTTTTTTTTCTACAAAATTTGTTTCATAAAGAATTAAAGATTAGTCAATTTCCAAATCACCACTTTCTATAAATATATATTTATAAATTAGCAATTGACACCCACATTGTGAAATAAAGTAAATTTTTTAAATTTACAATTTTTTATTTTTTATTTTTATAAATTCCCATTATTGATTTTGTGACATTTATTAATATTAACATTATTAAATAAACTATTATATTTTCATCTCTAATACAATGTTGGTGGTCATTGTTATCATTGCTCCCAATTCTTCCACTATTATGTAGACATAATTATGAAAAAAAAAAAGCATTTATTAACAGGAAAATAAAAGAAAAAAAGTGTAAAAGTTATCCATAGGAATAAGGGTTAACAAAACTTTATTAATTTAAATAACAATTTCGGAAATAGTACCATCTATTTAGAACTATTTGACTTGATTTTTTATTTTAAATAAACTCAAAAGGATCGAAATAAAATTATTCTTCCAAAATCTTTGAAATAGAAATATTTAGGGATACAAATTGTTTTTCCCCTTTTAATAAATTGCGAATAATTCATATAATCAAATCACGATAACGATTCCTATTATGTCAATTTCAAACGAGCAAAAATCATACTTATCTTCGAGTATTCCCATTATGGAATTAGATACCAAAAGCATTATATGGACATTGTGGAAGAAAATGTCATATCATTGGAGGAGGCATTACTTATCAACTTCAAGTATTTTGACTATACATATAATATATAGTTGATGAAGAAGAAGAAGGCAGAGCAGCCACTGGGAATATTTCTTTATTTTTATTTTATTAGACGCAGAGAGGCAGATGATGAAGGAACTCCAACTTCCCTCCTCCCTCCTCTCTCAGTTGCCAGAAATTCCCTTCCTTCTTCTAAAAAGCACCAAACTGAACAAGGGGGGCTAGTGGGTAGTAGTGGGTTTAGAACAAGCAAACAAGAACAGTAAAAAGATGAACAAGATTCAATACCTGATCACACCAGAGGCCTATCCAAAATTGATTCCTTGTGCTAGTGGTAACTCATTCCCATAGTTGATGGTGCTGCAAATTAACATGAACATGAACAGAATTGGTCAGATTGGGTTCTCATACAACAAAACCACAAATGTCAGATTCAAGCAGGGCTAGAGGGTTTGGGTTTAAAGATCAGTTGACATCGACTGTTGTTGGAGGGCGATTCCGCTTACATCATGTCTATATTTTACTCACAATCTCACTAAGAATGTTTACTTTCTATGAGATCCCACATCGGTCAGTTGGGGATGAGAATGAAACATTCTTATTCCACATCGGTAAGTTGGGGAGGAGAACAAAACATTCTTATTCCACATCGGTAAGTTGGGGAGGAGAACAAAACATTCTTATTCCACATCGGTAAGTTGGGGGGGAGAACAAAACATTATTTATAAGGGTATGGAAACCTCTCCTAGCAGACGTGTTTTAAAAACCTTGAGGGGAAGGCCAAAAGGGAAAGTCCAAGCATACCGCTCTACCACTACCAAATAGGGTATGTGACTGGTTATTCATATATATATATATATATATATCTCGAGAAGGCAGTCGTGTTGCAGATCCTTTGGCTTTTAAGGGTTCATTCTATTGCTTAGTGGTGGCTTTTTCCCTTTTCTTGCAAACATATTTGCAACATGTCTTCTTTTAGCATATGTTGAACTGTTCTAAATTCTGTGTATAATACTTTGAGATGGAATAGACGATGAAGAATTGATAATCGGAATGATGCATACCAAGTCGAGCGTCGCATGTACTGCTTCCACGAGTCACTTCCTGCTTCACGACCACCCCCGGTGGCCTTTTCTCCTCCAAAGGCACCGCCAATTTCGGCTCCATTCGTTGGTATGTTTACGTTTACAATACCACAGTCACTCCCATGTGGTCTGCAATGAGTTTAAAAACTTGTGTATGACATAAACCATTCAAATGAACTCACAATCACTGAAAATATGATAATCACAGTTGAACAACAGCCAAGGGTATTGATAGAATTGTGATGCATAGGCTTGAAGAAGCTTAAAACACTCACCCAGTCCATTTGAAGATGATCTCGGGTCGACGTGTGAAGATAGAACTGCTTAATCCTTGCGGCACGGAGTTGTTAATTTCAATTGCCTCTTTCAAAGTCTAGGCAAAACAAAAACATTCACAATATGATGTTTTGTACTCCGACAGAACTCCTAGAACTTATGAATGGAGTCAAGAGTTCACCTTAAATTTCATGACATAAAGAACAGGTGCAAATAATTCTTCCTTTACAACATCTGCACTCGAAGAAATTTCGACGATCGTGGGCTGCACAAAGTTGCCCTCTGATTCGATAACCGAACCACCTATCACAATCTTTCCTCCCTGAACATGGAGAATACACAAACTAATTTAGAAGATAATAGCAACTTCTGTGGTTAAAGCATCACAAACTCACACAGCACAATATGCTAAGCTTTTGCTCCGTCCACGGAGCGTGAATCCAAAATCATACAAGGAGACACGAGGTCGAAAAAGAAGCTTAATAGAAATTAAAAGCAAGCTAGTTTCGAATCAAACGTGCCTGAGACTTGATGTTCTCAATTCCCTTCTCAAAATTCTTCCTCGACTCTGAAGTGTGCAATGGACCCAGTAAGATACCCTTCTCGAGAGGATTTCCAATTTTTACTTGTTTGTATACATCAACTAATTGTTCAAGTACTTTCTGATATATGCTTTCATGGAGCAGCTACAAGACAGGAAAATACAAATTCCCAGGCTTAGATACCTTCATTTTCAAATAAGTTTGTGGGAAATATAGAGAAGTATACTACCAGCCTCCGACATGTAGTGCATCGTT